CGTCACTACGAGCCGACGAAATCTTCGGTTTTAACTTGTATTGAATGCACATATTCTCAGTGGTAACACAATATTTCCGGAGGTACTTCGGCACTACCAGCTGAAGAAATCCTCGGTGTTAATATCTATTGAGTGCACATAGTCTTTGGGAGGCAACACAATATTTCCAGAGGGATTTCGGCACTACAAGCCGACGAAATCTTCGGTTTTAGCATGTGTTGAGTGCACATATTCTTTGAGAGGCCACACAATATTTCTGGAGGTACTTCGGCACTATGAGCTGACAAAATCTTCGGTTTTAACATGTGTTGAGTGCACATATTCTTTGAGAGGCAACACCACATTTCCGCAGGTACTTCGGCACAACCAGTGGATGAAATCCTCGGTCTTAATATCTATTGAGTGCACATAGTCTTTGGGAGGCAACGCAATATTTCCGGAAGGATTTCGGCACTACCAGCTGACAAAATCTTTGGTTTTAAGATGTCGGATTTGAATTTGAGCCGAAGATGGCCTCATTTTTTGACGTCGTGTTGCCTGATGTGGGAAGACTTACCAACCCACTGGAATAAGCCTGAATAGCCCACAGGGTATTGCATCGGGAATATGAGGTGGGTTTGAGAGCTCGAAATGCTCTTTTGGAGGCAATGGCACACATAGAGGATCAGTTGAGGCAGTTGGATACTATGATCATGCTGAATGAAGAGGAGCTTCGGATCAAAGCAAGGATTGAGAAGGCAGAGAAATTGGTGCCATAGTAGTGACCCCCCCCTGTCTTCGGATATATCTTTCGGCCTACTTTTTTGTCGGTCCACCATATGATCATGTGTTAAATAGCAATTGGGCCCAAAGTTGCGGGATATTTCACAATTGGGCCACACCATCTCACCTTAAGGTAAAAGCATGCATTGGGCCCAACTTTATTCAATAGTGTGTAGATAGCATTGGCCCCATTGGGGTAGCTCTATGGTACATAGGTACAATTGACCATGTGGAGTACCATTGAACTATAATGTAACGTATGAGTACTTGTGGTTGAACGTCAAACCATCCGTTCTTCGACTAAATTTTAGTCCATCAGACGGTTCCATTCTTGTCCTCGCAGCCCTCTTCGAAATATCCCTCACCGGAACCAACGCAAACCTCCTAGACCCCCTCTCCACTCCTCTCCACGCCATCACAAAACCAGACAGCTCAACCACCACTGGCCCACTCTCCTTCTCCAACATCACGAATTTCTTCAACACCGTTTCCCTATTCAAATATACGGGATCGTTGACGACACCTCCGTGCACTGACGGCGTCATTTTCCTCGTCGCGAATACTTTCCTGCCGATTAGCCCGAAAGCGTTTTTGGAGTTTAAGAGTGTGTTGAAGTTTAATGCGAGATATGTGCAGAATGCGCCGGGGGAGAAGAATTTGATTGAAGTGGCTGCGGGTCAGTTGCCAAAGTAGACTTGGACTGTATTTCATTTTTTTTCGTCGTCCTTTCCGTTCCTTTTATTTCTGTTATTGTACTTACACCGTTAATGAAAGTTGATTATGGGGCACCATTCTATATACACAAGTATCATCGTGAGGTGCTGGTGAAAATCTGGATCGGCCTTTACTTCATGTCATAAGTTAAATCATTGACAATAGCAAAATATACAGCGTTTGAATCTAAAATATGTAAAAATATTGGACAAGAAAGTATACACGTCCGACAACTAACTCCGAGTCTGAACGCCCATAAAGGTTAATAAACTAATTGTTTTCGAGGCGCTAGGACTTTGACAAACCTGATGCCCATACCCTGAAAGTGCGTGATTACTGTTCATTGAACTTGCGCAAATGATATTGAATCCAGACTGTAAACTTAATGAAATCTGTACAAGAAAGTCAAAACACAGGGAGGAAAAGACATATAAAGGGAGACGAGGGAATGTCTGGGTAGATATCTTAAATCCGGTTAGTATCATCCATCCTTGCCACTAGTATCTACTTCGTTTCTGAGTCCTGAATCCTAACTATACTTGCTCGAGCCCGCGATTATGCGCTTGCTGTCAAAGATTGCAACAGACGTGACCGGATGTTTGGGCTGTCGGAATGGCTCACCCACTGGCTTCCCCGTCTCTGCATCCCAAATCCAAATTGTGTTGTCACGCGAGCCAGAGATTACGCGCCTGCCCTCATGCGAGAATGCCACAGACATGATCGCATCTGTGTGTCCTTGGAATGGCTCTCCTACTAGCTCCCCCGTCTCCACATCCCATATCCGAACTGTTTGGTCGCGCGACCCCGAGACTACGCGCCTGCCGTCAGGCGAGAATGCGGCAGAGTTGATAGAATCGGTGTGTCCTTGGAATGGCTCTATCACTGGCTTCCCCGATCCTGCATCCCAGATCCGAATTGTCTTGTCGACCAAGCCAGAGACTACGCACCCGCCGTGAGGTGAGAATGCCACAGACATGATTGCATCTGTGTGTCCTTGAAATGGCTCTCCCACTGGCTTCCCCGTCTCCACATCCCAGATCCAAATTGTCTTGTCATCTGACCCCGAGACTACGTGCCTGCCGTCAGGTGAGAATGCGACAGAATTGATACAATATATGCGTCCTCGGAATGGCTCTCCCACTGGCTTCCCTGTCTCTGCATCCCAGATCCGAAGTGTTCCATAGAATGAGCCCGAGACTACTCGCCTGCCGTCAGGCGAGAATGCGATAGACTCGATCTGACCTGTGTGTCCTTGGGATGGCTCTGCTACCAGTGGCTGCCCCGTCTCTGCATCCCAGATCTGAATTGTCCCATCCCACGAGCCCGAGACTACGCGCCTGCCATCAGGCGAGAATGCGACAGACCTGACCACATCTGTGTGTCCTCGGAATGGTTTTCCCACTGGCTTCATCGTCTCCACATCCCAGACCTGA